GTCCGGCGTCGGTTGTGTATTTTTTGTTCAGCTTTTAATAACTCTGGCGCCCATTATATATAGACTCTGATGTCTGTTCCTTCCAACGATTTCTGGAATACGTTTCATTAACCACAAAAACTGCATCTTGTAATCAAGCCTTCTGCTAAGAGTTATGTGTCTCGACTTTTCACAAACTTGACAAGTGATATTTGAAGTGCGGTGTGTTAAAGTTCCACACCGGAAAACTGTGAAGTAATAAAGTGTTATATTAAGATCTGGACTACTCCTCCTATCAGGTTGACTTTTTAGGATGGAACTCTAGATCTTAACATGGTATCCGAGCCAAATCGATCCATAACCATGGCGTGGGGCCCCTACGAAAAAATGATAATGATTATTTAAAAAATAACCATGACGAACCGATGGAAAAAATGAATGACGACACGATCTAGACGAAATGTCTGGTCGTGAGGAGGGGTGTTAAAGTCCTCCTATCAGGTTGACCTTTTAGAATGCAACTCCAGATCTTAACATGATATCAGAGCCCCCTCGGCTCCCGACGAATATCTGCTGCTGCTGTGATGTTAAGAAGACGACATGGGGACTCATGTGAACAGGACTGACGAAACAACCATGACAACCCAAGAAAACTTTTCTGGACTGAAGGAATACCGGAGGAAGGTAAATGACCCGGCGTCTTCGTATTATTTGTCGAACTCAGAGTCCCAGGAGTCAATATATGTGGCATCGTGTTGAAAGGGGAAGGCAACTACAAAGAGTGGTCGACGACAATGAGGAATGCGCTCCGCGCAAAGCGGAGACTAGTTTTCTTGAGGGTAAGATCCAATTGCCAGAAGATGACAATGACATGGAAGACTGGCTCATCGTGAACTCAATGTGTGTCGGGTGGATAATGATATCCATTGATCCAACGTTACGAGTTACTATTGCGTACTTGGACTCCGTGCATGAATTCTGGGAGGACCTCAAGCTACGTTTTGAAGTGGCGGATGGGATGAGGTTTCATGAACTTAAGGAGGCTATATAATCCTACCATCAAGGAGGATTGTCGGTGACTGAATACTTCAGGCATCTCAATGCGCTTTGGGATGATATTGCCGAATACCGAAAGGTGCCTAAGAGTGAATGTGGTGGCTGCAAACACGACCTTGAGAAAGAATTTTTGGTCAGAGTTGAAAATGAAAAAGTCCATGATTTCTTAATAGGATTGAATGCTGCTACGTTTGGAGGGTTGCGTTCTAATGTCTAAAGCATGCCGAAGCTCCCTTCTCTCAATAAAGTCTACCACATGATGATTCGAGAAGAGAGGCTATTGAATGTTACCGGATGCATGAAGCAAAGGAAGTAGCGGCATTTACGATCCAAGCGGACTATCAGTGGGCATAAAATAAGGACAAGGTTGTGTATACCTTTTGCAAAAAAGGACACGAGCGAGCCAATTGTTTCAAACTGACCAGACAATACCCGGAATGGTGGCTTGCAAATAAAGGCAGTCGTGGGCGTGTGGGAGCACCAGGGACGGGATGCAGCAGAGAAATGACTTTGAAGTCAGCGCATGCTAATGTTGTCTTACTTGAAGAAGATGGTGGGGCTGTTGGGAAATCAAATACCATCGATATTCCCACATTAACAAACGAGCAACGGACTTCATTTCTTGCATTTGTAAACGCCACTAAAACCTCATGTGAAGGAGTTAAAAAACTGCCAGGTATGAAAATAGGGAATGCATGGATACTTGATACGGTTGCATCTTATCATATGACTAAAGAGAAATCATTGCTATTTGGTTCGCAGTTAATTTCTTCCTCACCTGTCACTTTACTGAATGGATAAGTGACCGAAGCCACACATTTTGGGAGGGTGAAATTGGGACCCGGAATAATTTTAAATAATGTTCTCTATGTGCCTAAACTTAATTGTAATCTTATCTCGATATGGGACTTTAATAACGAGGCATATTCAAATAGTTGGGGCAAGCTTTATGTACTCTAGATGATGCACGGGAACTCATTTGGTTACCTGAAACCAATGGAAGATTCATCTTGTCTTCTGCCATCCATAAGATTAGAAGATCTAAACTAGGTACCTTCTCTTTCAGACATTCCTGGAATAAATATCAGCAGAGTCAGATTCAAATTTTCCAATGGAAGTTACTCCACAAAATCCTACCTTTCCCCGATAATCTACAGAGGTTTAATATGCAGATATTCCCTACTATGTGTCCTTTCTGTAAGAAGGATTCAGAATTTATGGAGCATGTGTTGTTTAGATGTTCTTTCAGTTGGTTCATTTGGAAGTACTTCTTGGGAATTTTTGAAATTCCTTATCCTGCCTACTCGGTTTCTTTGAGGCAGATGTTTATTGCTTGGTGGTTAGAGGCGGGTTCTAAAACCCTACTAGATGTGTTTAAGCATAATATGGCTGGAATTATAGCTTGGCATATTTGGAAAGCAAACTGTCAGCTGAAATGGGGAGATGGAAAGGAGGTTAGCAATCTTTCTATTCTAAATCAAATCAGAAACTTTACGCAGCTCTGGGCTGAGGCTAATCTTTCAGATCTTAAATTAGGAAAGCCTAGCCCTATCTTGTATGAGGAAAAATTACTGAAGCATTCTTTTTAGAATAGGAAACCGAGGATTCAGATAATGAAATGGACCTTACCTTCTCTTGATTACAAATTGAGTGTTGATGCTTCATTTCTCTCTGTTTGTGCGTGTGGGGGTGCTGTTCTTCGATCAAAATCAAGTTAATTTCTGGTTGGAATACATTTTCCTATCTCGGCATCTTCGGTCATAGAGGTGGAGCTCATGGCGGTTCACAAAGCAATCTCCTGGTTGTTATATAAGGGATATCACGACTTTGAAGTGGAGATGGATGCTAAGGTGGTGTTTGATGCTATTCAAGACAGAGCTTCAGGAGGAAGATGGAGGGGCAGTTTGATGATATCAGAAGATGGAGGGTTGAGAATCGTCTTATCTTCAGACATATCCCGAGGGAAGTCAACTGGCCGGCGCATTTCCTGTCTAAAATTAATTCTACTGATCAGCTTATTTATCCCAATGTCAGACAACTCCTCGGTTATATCAGACGTTCTCTTATTGCGGATAAATTGGGTTTGAGTTATATGCGAATTTCTTGATTTACTGTCTGCATTTCATTCTCTTGTATTTTGTCAGAGGAATGCCTTTGATGAGAGGTTTTGGTTTGGTCCCCCTCTTTTTTGTACTTAAACTTATTTCAATAAAATAACGGCAAATGACCCCTGACATTTGCCCCACTGGATGCGGTGGTTTACCTTCCGGGTTTAAAAAAAAGGAAGAATGAGAAGTTGTGACAGATTCAACACAACCACGTCGGCTGAAATCCAAACCACTTCTCATCATTCTTCTTTGTTGAATACTCAAAGTTATGGATTCAAATCATTCACTTAATTGATTGAAGAAGGAAGATTAATTTCTTGTACTAATATGATCATATATTCCGTATATGATTTCAGATATTGTCAAAATTAAATTAGTTTTTATTTGTATATCCACTAAACTATGTGTTTATTTCTACTTATGTATATGCACGGAGTATAAAACATATAAATATGCACAACATATAAAAAATTTAGAAAAGATCACACATAAACTATCATAAAAATAAAAGAGACAACAAGTTAATAAGGAAATGCTTGGCCCATTCGAAAAAATAAGAAAATGTTTGACCAATCAAAAGATGAAATATTGTAAATGCAAAAAATAAGATGAAACATTCTAAAAAATCATAAAAATTAAAAATTTGTTCGTTAAAGCATGATCACTCTGGTCTTGTATTCCTCCACCACCACCACCATCATCATCATCATCCTTATCGCACCCAATTACCTTTTCCCTTCCAGGCTCGTGTAACTTATTCCTAAAATTTTATTTTGTATTCGTGTCACGCCCCAGACCTGCCCGGACACGTCAACAACCCGCCGTACAATACAAATAGTCGACCACAGTCAAACACATTCATATTTTTGGCACGCCCATAAAGGGGCGTGATGGAGTATATGGCCCAGGAACCCCCGGCCCATAGACTCCTACTTCTCCTACACAAGTCCATTGAGCCCAGGGAACATCTCAGGCCCAAATGCAACGGCCCAAGCCTCAAAGAAGCCCAGAATACACACTGGGGTGCCTTCGGCCTCCTTGGCCGAAGGCTCCAAAACTCACAGGATAGCTTTTTTGGGCATACGAAGCTACTGGGAGAAAACGGTGGAAAACAGGAGCCTTCGCCATCATCAAGCCCTCGGCATCAGAAAAGCCTTCGGCTGAACCAGGCCTCCGGTCGCACAGAGCCTCCGGCCACGCAGGGGTCCTCTGTTACACGGAGCCCTCGGCTACACATGGAGCCCTCGGCTACATAAGGGGTCTTCGACCTCGCATGCTCAATCATCAAAGATTCCTTTTGGAGACAGCCAACCACCGCATTTAATGCAACGTCACATCCGCCAACCGCATTCAATGCGGTGAACATGCCACTGCCGGTGCCACCCCGATTGATGTGACCCCTCGGCCGTTGGATTACAGACACGTGTACTCTCGTCGCATTTATTGCTGCTATAAATAGCAGCCCATTTCTCCTTGTAAACGATCCCAACTCCACATCTCGAGTTCATTTAATAAAATCGACTCTCTCTCCTCCTATTTACTCTGACTTCTCTCTAGTTATTCCCGCAATAACCCCTCGGATAAGACACCCCCAGGGTAGATTATCCACCAGGGCGTGCCAAAAATTTGTGAAACAAATTTGCAAGCCTTGGTTTATTTTTTGGATTACTTGATTTGTATTTTCAGAGGTATGCCTCTGTGAGAGGTATTGGTTTGGTCCCCCTCTCTTTTTGTATTATTTCTTATATTAATAAAACTCGGCAAATGTTGCCCGACATTTGCCCCACCGGTGGGTGGTTTTCATTCCGGGCTAAAAAAAAAAGGCGTCTCGAATACCATTCACACATAAGTCATCCATAAACAAACATAATAAGTAATTCATTACGTAGTGGAAAACATAGTTTAAAACAAATGCCACGCAGGTGCAAATCATGAGCACGCGTGCTCTATAGTAAAATATCCATGAACATGTTTATTATTGTTCAAAACAGAATGGAGAAAGTACAAACCAAGTCTTCTCTCCAATATGATCACCCGAGCAACGGGCACAGGTAGCAAGCTCAAGCCTTAACCTGAAATGATGGTGGGACGCCCCCGAAGGGGTCAGTACTCTATACGGCTATAAAGTACTGGTGTGGATGGAATCTAATAGATATACAACAAGTATTTCACACACAAGACCCTCAAATAGGGTGATAATATAATCTAGACAGTAACCCCAAGTTACCCCTTTTCAAAATATACTTACTTTATATAAAGTCAAGTAGTCGACCCGTGAGCCCATGTTCGTTTACAAAACACCATCCCAACCCCGTGACTACAAGTCACGACAATTCATAGGGTTCAACCCTAATATATCCTTTTGCATTTCTATGAGCTCGGCTCAAGTACATCAACATGCAAATCATAGGACACAAGTACATCAACTTGCACATCATCAATCACCCACCTTATGTCCACCCATGCAATTCTATGAGCTCGGATCAAGTACATCAACTTACATGACATAGACCCCACCTTATGTTCATCCATGCAATTCTATGAGCTCGGCTCAAGTACATCAACTTGCATGGCATAGACCCCAATTCCTAAGCACTTACTATGCCTAGAATTGTCATATCATTTAACTACTTTAGGGCATCCCTATGGACTTCCCTAACTTGACCTTAGCTCCACACTATATCACATTTGACACTTGAAGTCTAATCAAGTGCATCACATACAATCCAAACCTTAGGTTCGATTCTACCAACAATTTCGAACAATCCTTAACTAGTATTTCATTACTATTAAGATTATTCTTAACAACTCATATATTCATAAATATGATCCCCTACATATATAGAGATATGTGGCAGCACCTCATGTGTTTAGTTTCATCATACAAATATTCATTTACATGTCCATACAATTCATACATGAGTTAGAAATGCCTATTTTAACATAATAGCACATTTATACCTCATTTAGCTCCATATTCATCAATATGGTTTCAATTGACAATCAAGTCCATTACTTATCAATCATATCATGTTCAAGCATCATTAACCATGAAAAACATGATTTAAACATTTAAGTAATCTCATGCATAACCTACAAGTTGTAAGCAACTAGATGTCGGTCCTCACCGTAATGAGCTTTAGACTTTCCTTTCACGTTCCAACGATCAAGCCTCGGCCAAGGACAGTTGGGAGCTGATTCCTTGCTTGAAATGAGTGAACATCAGCCTCCTCAAGCAGCTAGCTCCACCCTTAACCAACGAACCGAAAACAGCCCCCTAGAAAGGGTGTTTCCCCGCGAGTTCGCTTCCTAACTTTTCAAGGTTCATTCTAGGTTAGTGCCTAACCTTTAACCTCATATATTTATTATTTCAAGAACATATTCTACTCTCAGAAAAGGGTAGAATAGTCCCCTCAACCGTACCTATGATCTAGGTAAAGAAAAGAAAGGTTTTGAATTCTAACTCATCTTTAGAGAAGAAAAACCATTCTGCAAGGTTGCATTTTCCTATGCAGATTTGGAGACCTTCCACAAGTCCGGTCATTGTGATCTGCACCTTCCCAGAATCCTCGTTTAGAGATCTTTCTTTAGACACCTTACACGCATGATTTAAATGAGTGAAGCTCGAGATATGGGCTGAACAATCAACCCTACGCACAGCGCGACGAAAACCTGCGGACAGTTCACTCTCTCTTGCTTTCTTTTGTTTTGTGCGGCTCTCTTCTTCAAGAAGCTAAGGGAGTCCAAATGGGGGTACTAAGAGTGCTCTTTATACCTCCCTAAAGGTTATTCCTTTTGTGTGGACGAAGATGAGTGAGATGTGGATGATTCTCCACCAAGTGTCACTAATTAAGTACAAATCGGGTCCATGCCTTATCATTTTATTCTCAAATCAACCTCCCTTCATTATGGCTCACCCCAACTAGTCTTTACACTATATTCCCTTTGTCTTGAAAGTGCCAAGGAGGTGTGGGACGCACCCCCCTTTGGTCCAAATCAATTCGGAAGGAAATATTTACTAATACTTAGATGGAATATCGGATCTTATTGTTTTGTGCTCTTATAATGTGATGTCATTTTTTTGGATTACTATTTAGGATTCTTGAATCAAGTGTCAGAAAACAGGTTATGTAAATTGGAAGCGTGTAATTTAAAGCCAAAAAAATAAAAAAGAATCATCAATAGTTGAAGAAGGCTATTATTACCCCAAACTATCCCTAGAGACTTCATATGCCAAGAAACAACCAGCATTTGCAGGAACGCTTCTAACCATTTGCGGGAAGGCTATAATGTGATGTCTCTTGTATTCATTTGGATTTGTTTAAATTGCATTGGGCTCTTATATCTACTAAGATGACCCACTCAAGGTATTTGGAAGCCCGCTCTCGAAATACGGATCCAAATGATAAGTTAATAAAACATTAGTTACATGAAACATTCCACGTGTTACACATGGTTGGTAGCAAGAAATTCAATACATCATTATGGAATTTCAAATAGTACTTTCAAGCACGTTCGGGTGTGGTGTCACAATCTGACCCAAAAATATTATAATTTGGCACACTGTCTCCCCGTCCTTCTTTAGTTTAACAAACTCTTCCAATATAAGTTTTGAGCAATGAGTCATGTTTCTTCTGTGTTTTCTTGACTTCTTCCACTTCTGCCATTATTTTAACATTCTCCTTGCTCAACTTTCTAACTTGTCTCAACATAACGGTGGTTTTCCTTTCATTTTCAAAGCCAACTGTTCCATCATCATTGACATCATCCTCTAATTGGGCATTTTCTTCATTTCTCCCCCCAAACTCTTTGTAGTTGTTCCCTTATTCTCCTTCCCATTCTTCCCCTTTTTTCAAATACATTGACACCTTCAATTCTATTACCACATGTACTGCCAGAATTGTTTCTCCTCTTTGCTCTTAGCATTCTAATGGACATTAAGTTAGGAAGTTTCTCAATTTCCAAATTTGCAGGCTCCATCTTTCCCATTGAAACTGCATAAAAACACCCAAAACTTTCAAGTTAAATCTAATTATTTGCATTTCACATTGTTACTAACTAATAAATAAGTAAGCGGCTTTACATGTTCGTTCTTGAAGATTGTGTTGGTGAAAACTTTCACAAATGGTTTTTATGAACTCCTCATTCACTGCTCTTGATATATTTTCTCTCACCATTCAATGGCATTGCATATATATGCCTTTGCGAGCCTTGTAAATGTTCCACACACTTCTAATGGTATCAGATGGGAGTGTCATACATTGCGCATTACATTTCTTCAGGCACTTGGTATTGTTCCTCATGTTATTCACTAATTCGGCCCAAACATCATCTCTCCACAGATATGTGTTGAATACCTCCCAGTTGTCCACCAAATTCGCATAACAATTTGGTAATTTCCTTCTCACTTGGTTCTCAATAACCAGTGTGATAGCACATAGAGTAGAGCAAGATTGATACAATCCTTGTCTTCACTTCTTGAGTCTTCACTGTTATATTTCATCAATGCATTTCACACCTCGCTTCTTGTCATACTTGTTGCGTTGCCTAAATACTTTCTCCACAAAGGTCCCTTCATCTCCTTTTGTAGAGCTAGTTTTGACACCATCCATTTCCAATCCCAATACACACATAAACTCATTTGCGTAAAACTTACTAGACTGTTTTAGATGTGGTAACAAATGAAATTTGTCTCTTTTTTGTGTTTAACCTTTTTCCCATAATTGCATAGAAATTCTAGCTGCAGTTGACCACTAATCCTTCGCATATCTTCCACATCCAATACCCATGCAAACATTGTCCTTCTGAAATCCTCTATTTCTTCCGGTTTAGGATGCTTCGTTATCCTCTCCACCACTTCAATTAAACTGTAGCAACAGTTAATTAGCATGTTCTCTAATTCTCCAGTTCCTTTTTCAAAAAGCTCTCTGAATCACCAAATGTTGTAGCAAAAACAATTACGACATGTATGCACATTTATAATCACCTTTTGGTCATGCACGTTATATTTAGTATGCTGTCAATCCTTTGTTTCAAAACATTTGGATATTCAGATATACAATGTGAACAATGTGACAGAATTAACACATCAACATATTTTAAACAAAAGAAGAAAAAGTATATCTTGATGCCATTAATCAAGAATGCAGATAATTATCTATTACATAGACATTAGAGCAACAATAAATGGCATTAAGTACAATTTCTCGGAAATCAATCTAACTTTGTCCCATTTAAACAACATATTCATTTTTTCTTCTTTCAAACACATGACCATTGAAGTTTTCATTTCCATAATTCCTTCTTCAAAATTTTAGTATTTCTTCCGATATTTTGTCATTATAACATTTTTATCAAGTATGTTTTCCTCAGGTTTAAGTTTTTTTCCATTTCGTCCACTTTTCTGCGATAAACTGATCCTCGGCATTGGCGCCAAAAACTAATGTGAGTTTTCTCGCACTAAAAATATGTAGCAGTATAGGGTGTAAGTACGAGTATCGTCTCCACAGGGACGGACAAAATGGAATTAAGAATTAACTAAATTCAGCGATTAAAAAAGAAAATAAAATAAAATAAAATGCAATTGTGCGAGATTTGAATGATTGGAAAATTAAATAGCAGGCAACGAATAAAAATAAATTGGTTTCTTCTTAATAGCTAGCAACGATAAACTCTGAGTGTGATTCGAGGGACAACGATTGTCACGAGTTGTTTTGTCCGTTCACCTACTATCTAAATGATGCACCTCTTTCCATTGTAAGCCAATTGGCAAACGATTTACTTTTTTTTGAACGAAAACTAGCATCTATTCATATCATAAGTTTCAGGATCATTACATCAATGAAATGAAAAACAAATCTGACACCAACCAGACACCTACAACTACGACTGTAAACCCTATGGTCAGACTTAGAGACGGTCACCCCTGATAGAGCAACACGAATCGCTAACCATGTACCGGGCTTGACACAGCCATCCATGTTTCCAAAGATCCAAACATACCCAATGACATGAAGAAAAACGAAAATCCCAATCAAACTGTCACACCTAGCAACATAGACATTAACGAGAATCCAAATGACCAAATAATAAAATCTCATCGGAGGAGGACAAAGCATGAGAAAAACTAAATAAGCAAAATAAATGTCTTGAACCCTAGCACCTCGTTCAACCTTTGGCGTTGGTTCAGGAGGAGGCCGGACCTTCATCGCTCGATTGATTATCTCTCTCGTTGTTGCCCCGGAGTCGGATTCAGAAACCCCATCATCATCAATCAGTTGCGCATTGATGTGAGTTTTCTCTCACTTAAAAAGATTGTAACATAGTGGTGAAAGTACGAGTATCGTCTCCACAGGGACGGACAAAAGGGAATCAAGAATTAATTAAATTCAGCGATAAAAAATAAATAAAATAAATGCGTCGTGCGAGATATGATTGGTATGAAAAAATAAAATGCAACTAAACGATTAAAATAAATGCTTGGTTTCTTTCTAATTAACGACGAAGGGAACAGGGATTGATTCCGGGGTAACCAGATTTCTGGCAGAACAAGCCTAATTACATGAAATTTAATTTAATTGAGCCTAGCTAATCATTACTAAGTTCTCACCGCTCTCGCGGCGTAGAGTACAATAATTTAGGGGACCAGGCTGATCTCTCATGCGACAGGATCCTAAATTATTGCCAAGACGAGCGAGCTTACGGCCCCTTAATCGCTACTAATCTCTTAGCGAACGATTAAGTGTGTGTGAATGTGTCCTAGAATAAATTAGATCTCTCTTAACTTATTCTACAAGCAATTGTAATTCTAGCGCGCGTTCTAGGTTACAAAAGATATCAATTAAATTATTCAGACACAAATTAAACGGCATTCATGCAATTAAACCGACAAGAATCTAGCCATACATCATGATTAACTCCTTCATCAACCCCAAATCCCTAATTAAACTACTCACAATTCATAATTGAAGAATCAACAGAATTGGGATGAATAGAATAAATTGTCAATAATTAAAAGATAGAACTTACAAAGAATCCCTTAATCTTGAAGAACAAGGCTTGAAAAGCTCTCAAAAATCGAAATAGGGTTTATCTCTCTAAGCTCATAAGTCAAAAACAGGCAAAACAGGGGCCTATTTATAGAAAAACTCAAAATCTGGCCGAAAATTTGACTGCACGTCGTGCGGGTTTAGGCGCGCGTTTCCATCTCCGTGTTTCGCTCCGCCCGCACAGTTTGCGGGCGCCGCACTATGCAATCGCGCGGGTACTTCTGGGGGCTATTTCTGGACCGCGCGGTGTGCGGTTTCGGCCGCGCGGTGTGCGGTTCAAACCCCTCAACTTTTGCTCTTAGAATCGCCCGCGGGGCGTGCGGAACCGCACCGCGAGGCGCGCGGAATGCTCTTGGACCGTTTTCTTGCCATTTTCTTCACAGTTTTTTCCCGGATGCTTCTTTAATCGATCCAAAGGCTGTTTCTTCATCAAACCTTCGTCGTGAACCTCCCGGTGGCCTCCAAAACTCTCAAATCTCTCTCGAATGTTCTCTTACTCTTCCTGATTGCTTCTCAAGCGCCGGTGTCGGACTCTAAATTCCTGATTTTGACTCCAAACAACACAAAACTCGAACCAACGCCCGGTAAACATAACTTGAGCTAAAATTGAGACTTGTAACATCTTAAAGCTAGGAAAACCATCAAAAGCCGATCCCAACACGCATCAAATGCGTGTCTAAATACGGACTTATCACGCAGCCGTCATAGGACCCAAACCCATGCTATTGAATTGATCGATCAACTTCCCCTCCACGCTAACCATGTCCGTCATTGCTACCATGATCGTCCAAACCACGCACTACGACGCCAGTGATGCATCGAATAACTAGCGCCGCACCTACGACGGCGAAGAAACGCACCCTACGTGAGAAGCTCTCGCTAGGGAAAACCTAATCGCAAACGATTTACTTTTTTTTGGAAAATGCGGCTTATATTGATAGAGAAACATTCAACAAGGGACAAAAGAGACAAATGAAGCACTTCCAGCCACCGACCCTCGGACCAGCCTGAGAACCAATCACCCTAGACAGAGCAATGTGATTCGCTAATCCTATAACCGGTCTAGATGAGCCTATCGTGGCCAGAGCAAAACCCCCATCACCCCAGCCTAATGTAAGAGTCTGACAAAACAAAACAGTGACAACAAGAACAATAAAAACCGTAAAAGCGTGGAAATTAAAATGCATCCTAATTATCACGAACAAGCTCCAATGCCGTGGTGGTGGTTTTGGAGGAGGACGAGCTCTACCAATGTCAACACACTCTAAGAGAACGCAGACAGAAGCCCCTGACCAGACGAAGCTAGCCAAGACACCAACAAAACTCCCCACATTGAGAGAGACAAACCACTCCGGAGCATCAGTGCCCGAGAAAGAACCGCCATAGAGCAAAATCAACACAATCAGCACAACGAACAATCCAATTGGATCATACCTCTATCAAGAATGTGTAATGAGGAAATCACCGTACATAACCCAGAACATGTCCTCTTCGTCCTTCGTCGTTGATGAGTCGGGAGAAGAAGACGCTGATCCGCCGCATGCTAGGCCTCCTTCTTGCTAAAATGGCCGATCGAAACTAACTCTGTATTACCCGTCTTGAACGCCGATCGAAATCGATCTTGTCTAGCCACACAAGATCGCCGTCGCTGCAGCTCTTAGGGTTTACATCACTTAGCTCGTTATAATTATGGTTTTACAACACTGGGCAGCGCTATAACCCTTTTCTTATAAAAAATATTTTAAGAAAAAAAAATATTCGCCTACATTCCGATAAATAGTGATATGTGTGGTCACAAACGATTTACTTTTTTTTATCGTAAAAGAGCGGCCGTTATATTAAAATCGAGAACACATATAAGAGAACGTCTAGAGAGAGAGTCGCAAACGATTTACTTAATGAAGTTGTTGGTTTTGATGATAAAAAAATATTTAAACGGAAAACTAGAAACTAGGGTTGGGAAAAAACTCCCGACTCCCGACTCCCGATCCCGATCCCTACAATCCCGATCCCGACAATTCCGATCCCGACAATCCCGATCCCGACTAGTCGGGAATTTTTCCCGATCCCGACTAAGTTGGGACGGGACCGGATTTTTTTTTTAAAAAAAGTCGGGATCGGGAAAATCCCGACATCCCGGCATTATATATATATATATATATACATGTGTATAATTATATATGAATATATAAAAAATGAATATACATTTATAAAAAATGAATATGTATCAAAATATTTGCATATCTTTATTAATTACTTATTCCTTACATAGATTAATCTTTTACTATGAGTATCTTACAATATCAAACTTCTAAAACTATTCGGCATTTGTCCGAAAATGAATATTCGGGATCCTTACTAAATAGAGATTATTCTTGATCACAACAATCTAAATCACAACAATATTACAAATTTTGCGGTTCTTTCTTTAGTAAATAATCATAATATGTATTTATACATTATATTCATTGGTCACAAAGTTTCTCAATGAGTCTACTTAGTTTTGAATTTTAAATAATATATGTTACACACTTACACATCCTTCTTTTAGTGATTTTTATATAATGTTTGAAGTAAGTTTCACTAAACCTTGATAGCTTATTAAAAAATTATTATACTATTAATTAATTGAAGTCTATTTATATATAAGAAAAGAAATAGCGCGCTCATAAAAATACAATTTTACCCTTAATGAAATCTATGTGTCATTCTTCCCACAATTCACTCCTTTACTCTGCAAATGACACATGGCAAATTGAAGGATAATACCAAACAACAACCAAAATTCAAAGGAAGGGAAGCATTTATATACACACAAGAAGAAAAGAAACGTACGTGGTATGAGTTTATGATCCCTATAAATAAAAAAAACACCATTTTCTTTAAAGTGTTTTAACTTTTTCATCTTTTATCTAACTTTTATAAAAAGTATATCAAAGTTCATATTTTTTTAGGATCTTTCATATGACACCAATATTGCATATATAAAATTCTACAAAAAAAAATATGAAGATTTTTTAAACAACCTTCTTCTTTTCTAATATATGACCAAAATAAAGATAATGGATACAAAACATGACCTAACAATTTTTAGTGACTATATTTATGTTTGAAATTATATCCATGTGACTATAAGGAAAACATCTCAAATAAATATTTGTGGACAAGAAAGTCACGAAATTTGCTACGACTACACTTTTAGTCACTGTGATATATTCTGTCATATCCTCCGTTTCTTATAATTGCAACATGGAAATTTTTTACCATTCACATATTCTACTTTAACTATATTTTGTTTGTTCATGTGTGAGAATTATATT